TTTCCTAGGACCATCTATGCATGCATTACCCCATAAATTTCCTGCCTTTGCAGGGACCTAAGGCACTAATGATGACCTGTCCTCTCCTGCTTTCTTGTGGCACAGTTTTGGGGTATTTTGAGATGAAAGATGCTCAATGTGCTATGAAGTAGGTTTTGCTTTTTAAAAGTTTGTTTATTTTTAAGCTGCAGTGTTCAAGAGAGGCAAAAGTGGGTACCTTGTGTTTGGTTGCTTGTCATTGCAGGGGATAGGACTTGATGACCCAGGTGCTCCCTTCCAGTTCTGTGTTCCTGTGTGAAAAATACTTCCTGTTTTTCCTACTATTCCATAAAAAGCTGCATGGTGTTACAGACAGACTTTTTATGTCCATGGAGAAATGATATTAAGTTAGTTTTCTGCCAGATCTCTTCAACAGTCTTTTTTCATATGTGTTCCCTACATTAAAGACTATAAAAGATCAGGGCACTCATGACTATAGGGCAGTGGCAGGCAATTTTTTTGGGAGGAGGGCTGCTTACCAAGTTTTGGCAAGCTGTCGAGGGGCTCATGGGTAGTCCTGCACCTTGACAGGTGCCCCGCCCCCTGGTCACCAACTTGTAACCAGAAGTCCTGCTCCCTAGTCACCAGAAGTCCCTCCCCTTGCCCCCAGAAATACTCCTTTCAGCAAAGGGTTTTGCCATCTCAGAACCAGAAAAATACCAAATTATATTCTAAAAATCAAACAACTACAACATTCATTAGTTTGATTTCAAAAAAATTTTTGTCCTGATTTACATGCATTTGTGTAGTGTACATAGAGGTGATTATACAATATCTTAAAATGAAGTCTTACTCTTGTACATTGTGGAGGGGTCAGTTTGTGGGGGGCTGTGGGTATGTGGGGTGCAGGGGAGGGTGTGGGTGTGTGGGGGGGTTTATGGGGGAATGGATAGGCGTGGGCATGGGGTGAGGGAGCATGTGGATATGTGGGGTGTGGGTGGATATGGAGTTTGTTGGGGGAATGTGTGTGTGGGGGGGAGGGGAGGGTTACTATACATGCAGGTATTCCTGGACATGTCCTCTTTTATTGACCCCTGTGCTGCATCCAGGCAGGTTTTTAAAATAACAGCAAATGTCTGGGTTTGCTGCTTTCCAGGGCTGGCTGGGAGTAGCGGGCAAGGTGATTGGCTGTCAGGGGTCACATGCTCCCTACACGGGCTCAGACAAGCCAGGTAAATGGAGAGAGCGAGAGCGAGAGACAGCAGGCACGCTTGGGCAGCAGAGCTGGGGAGGCAGGAGTCTGCAGGTCAGGAGTGAGGGGCACCAGCACAGCTGGGGAGCAGAGTGCGGGACACTGGCAGTGCTGGGGGGGTAGGGGAATGCAGATCAGGAATGAAGGGCACAGGGGATGGGAGGGGTAACCGTGGGCTGAGTGTGCAGAGCACTGGCAGTGGTCTGCAGGTTGGGAGTGAGGGGCAGCAGCAGGACTGGGGGGGTAAGGGGTCTGTGGGTGAGGAGTGAGGGGTACCAGCATGGCTGGGGGGCAAGGGGCTGCAGGTTGGAAGTGAGGGGCACTGGCAGGGCTAGGGGGCAGAGCAGGGGACTCCAGGTCAGGAATGAGGGGCAGCAGCAGGTCTGGTGGGGCAGGAGCTGCAAATGAGGGGCACCGCCAGGGCTGGGAGGTGGGCAGGGGGCTGCAGGTCAGGATTGAGGGGCATGAGAGACAGGATGGGTGACTGTGGGTTGGGTGTGCAGGACATTGTCAGTGCCAGAGGGCTGCAGGTCGGGAGTGAGGGGAACCAGCAAGGGGTGGGGGGTAGGGCACTGCTGTTTGGGAGTGAGAGGCACTGGCAGGACTGGCGTCAGTGTGTCCAGAGTGAGGGTCAGAAGCAGGGTAGGGAAGGGTGTGGCTTGTCAGTGAGGGGCAACAGAATGGGCAGGGGCAGGGCACTGGCATGCCACTGCCCCCCTCACCATCATATTCCCCTTCCTGGTGACAGGTATCCTCTTTTTTGGACCTGTGGGCTGTATTTTGTCCACCCCTGCTATAGGGAGAGCCCCTTCATTGTTTCCCTCTAGTGCCAGAGTAACTGTGGCCACTGGCACTTACTGAAGGGTTAAAACACTTCAGGTGAGGAACAGAACTTCTAAATGAATTGATCAAATCTTCCAGTGGGGCTGAAAGGTTACTTTGCACCCAGTAGGGTGCTAAAGTTATCAAGACACTTGATAAATTGTAGTAGGGTCTAATGATTCGGCTTGAACACTTGGCACATACTAGGAGAATCACAGCTCAGTCACAGATCTTATTTAATTCCTCTCTGCAGACCTAGTCAAATATTGTACATAATGGCTTCTGGGAGGCAACATGCCCTATACACTGATCACTTTAGGGGTCTCAGTGGAGTTTTGTTGTAGAGGACTCAAAGGTCTTCCCTGGGGAGCAGCCATCTTGTTGTAAAACTACTTTTATGTTCATTTTCAAATGTCTTCCAGCTGCTTTTCAAACGTCAGAAATTCTAAAATGGAGAAAAATTCCAGCCACAAATAATAAGGGCTGTAGCTACAGAACTGTATGAGAGATTTGTAGAGATGTAGGGTGAGATACTGTATTTAAGAGAGACTGTGTAGGTTTGCAAATGAGTAATTACTGAGGTTCTGCTATTACACTGTATGGATAGGTATAGATTGAGAACATTGCCACAACCCTGAAGGAAATGCTTCATATTTTTAATGACCTGTTGTCTGATGCACATGTTAACTTTGCCTGTGACCAGTGCTTTGGTTTTTCCTTTTGTTTTGTTTTTGTATGCGTTACCTGTTGAATTAGCCATAGATAAATACATGGAAGTAAGAAAATGTTGGCAAGGTACAATGTTAAATTTGCAAGTTGGTTACTCTCTGCAGATAGAGTTTACCAATTACCGCAGTCAAAACTTCGATTCTTGCCTTTCTCGGGCCTTTCTAACACTCTTAGTTAATCTCCCAGGCGCTTGTTTTTTCCTTGATCCTCTTAATACAGTTGTGCCAAACCTTTTTTTCCTGCAGGCTGGATGAGTATTTCAGGTCAGTGTACAGATTGGATTCAGTCTGTGGACCCAGTTGGGTGCACGGTGCTGGCCCAGTTGGGGCTCAGTCCAATTACACAGGAATGGCCCAGTCAGGGCACAATCCAGCTGCATCACTCTGGGGGCCAATCTCTTCATGCAGGACTGGCCTGGCCAGGGCTGGTCCAGCCATGTGGGGCTTAGAAATTTGGTGGTGGTGGAGCTGTGGCAGTATTAATTGCCACTGCTCCCCCACTACCATATTTCCAGACTTTGGGGAGTCCCATGGGACAGATGAAATGGCTCTGCAGGCTGGATCAGGGTGGGTCAGGGATTGAGCATCCCTGCTCTAGTAAATCTCAGCAACATCTGAAGTAGGAAAATACTGCCTTAACGAAAGTATTTTAACTCTCATGATTTGAAAACAGTAAAACATACAAGGTTTATCTTCATATCTTCAGTTCTATCATCAGCTCATACATGATTGAGACGACTTGTATAGAAATGAACACTAATCCAAGCTGAAACGAGGAAAGATTTTAAAATAAAAAACATGGAAATGTTCTCTATGCCCTCCTCTGCTGTTTGCTACCTAGCCACCTTTTCAAAAGTGGCTGTTTTTTGGGTGCCTTTGGTTTTTGGTGTTCATTTTATATCAGTTTACACCTGTCAGAGTACTGAGAAGCATGCTGCTCCCATTGACTTCATTTGGAGTTTGTGGGGTGTCCAGCATCCCTGTAAATCTGAACCAGATTTTCTCTTGTAGGATATCAGGATCAGAGTTTAGTTTTAAATGTTCTGCCCTCACTTTCTTCCAAGGATTACAAATGTTCAACACCTCTAAGAAAATAGTTTGGCATTTCATTCATTGTATCTGGCTAATCAGTGTGCATTCATATACATTTCCCAAAGACTTGACGGTTCTGCAAATTGGTAATAATACTGGGCCAAATCTCTACTTTACTAGTTCAAATTAATTCAGAACAATAGTGATCCAAATGCTTTACCATCTTGAGACTATGTGGTAGCTTTGGTGGAAAGTATGCAAGGAGTGAGTCCAATTCCTAGGGGACAAGTGTCTGCATAGAAGAAAAACGGACACCATTGCAATCAGTAATGTCTATCAGCCTGCATAGAACAACCAAAGGCTGAATGAATTTGATCTAATTCTTACCAGTCATTTGTTGAAGTCAGTGGTTAGGGAAGCACATTAGTGGTTAACTGAAGGCTGCATTGTGCATACACCATGGATGTCAAACTCACCTGGCTGTGCGGATGAGATGAGCGGAGGCTGGTGTGAGCCAGATCAAGCCCACAGCTTGCCTCTCCTCCTTCCTCTAGCATACTAGATTCAGTGCCCGCTTTAGCCAGTCTGAGACCCATGTTATGTATGGCACAGATCCTGGAGCAGCTGGAGCAAGTGTCACATGTGGTATAGTCCAGCTGGTCTAGGATCCACACTACACATCCCTGGCTGGACTTCACCGCATGTGGTGCCCATTCCAGCCACTCCGGGATCTGTGCTCCTGTGTCCACCCATGCAGTGCGGTCCTGTAAATGGGTGCCAAGTGTGGTGCTTGCCCTGGCCCTGTCTGTGGGTGCTGTGCTTAGACTCAGGGGCAGCACCACGGGCCTGATGACAGAGCTGGATGTTTGACTACCCTGGGATAGACCTTTTATGTGATTCGATCGGTTGCAAAGTAGCATCTTTCACTAGCATTAAGTTAACTTTTATTTCTATGGGAAACAAAAGTCTGTGTAAACATTGGCTTCACATAGCTTTCCCCTGAATATGTTTTGACATTAGCTAAGGCTTTGAGGTTTGTAATATTTGGTATTGGCCAAATGCTTTTAAGCTGTTAAAGGAGCATGCCACCACAAAGCTACCTTCAAGGGACTTGAAGCAACTTTCCTATTAAATTGCCATTAGATATATAAAATATACACAAAATAAATCAGATTTTTTCCCCCTAGACCTTGGCTGGATCTCAAAAGTGCAAGTGAATCAACCTGCCATTATAAGGCATGCAGAACAAATTCAGACACGGAGAACTGTGAAAAAGGATTGGCAAGTAAGTGCTCTTTTTAAGCATTCTGTTCCTGTATTTTTAAAGCAGTCATTCATCCTCTCTAGGCTGTAATATTGAATTTTGTTCAAGATGCATGTAAACTTAAAAGATTGTGGTTGTCAGTGTCTTATTTTAATAATTTGTATTTGATGATGATGGGTTGGGATAAGATGACACATTTATCCAAACAAGTTAAAAACCTGATAACTCATGAGTGGCAAAACCACAAATGAATTTAAGGCATCTTTATTCATGAGTGGATTAAATTGTATATTACTATCCCAGCACATTCATTCTGGTTCCCAGACAGACCCCCCTCTACACTTAGTCTTCTTATTTTTTAATTTTAAAGCTGTAAGATATGATCGTGGTCCCTGTCAAGTTTGACCTACCTTGATAGTTGTCCTTTGCATTATGCAATTTTGCTTAACCAGTTATTTGTGTCTCAAAATTAACAACTTTCTGTGGGACCTATGAAGAAACAAGGATATACATATGGCAGGACTCAATTCTGCCACCCTTGTGCCTGGAAACCAATCCTTATTTGAGCAGTTCCATTGGTTTCCATGGGGTCACATGCAATAACAAATGTTTTGCAACTCTTCTACAGTTTGAATAACTGGGTCTTGTAAAAAGAAACCTAAGTGGGTGCAAAATTGTCATGAGACTTGGCCCAATTCTTCTTTCAAATACGTGCACAGATTTCAAAGACTCCAGTGGAAGTTGTATTGGTGAGCAGAATTTCATCCACTGAAAGGTTGTAGTAGGGCAGTGGTCCTCAACCTTTTTAGACTTAAGGTACCCCTTCACATTTTTTCAGATTCAAGTGTCACCCTACTTAAAAACTAATATAAATAAATTAGGAATATTTTAAATGTTACAATTGTATTAATTATTATGTAATAATTGATTAGATAATTATATTCCCACCTTCAGGCCACTGGCTAGGAGTACTCCCCTAGCTCTGTGTGGTCCAGCAAATGTTTGCACCCAACATAGCAGTGGGCTTCCCACATGTGATTCTAGGTCACTAGTGGGGATTGGGAACCAATGAGCCAAGTTCTTCCCTTAGTTATGCCAAGGCAATCTTTCCTAAACTCTAGCCCTAGAACTGTAGGAGGGAGTCCAGGCAGGGATGTTTCAGGGATGGGGTGCCAGGCTCCACCTTTAGTACATAGGGAGTGCTGAGCAGGGGAGAAGGGGTATAGAGTGGGCAAAAGGAAACGTGAGACTTGGGAAGCAGGAGGGGAAGGCCAAGGGGTTGCCACAGTGTGATTACTATTATAACCATGGGAAGTGGCTGTGGCGTGAGTCTGTGCTCTTACCACTGCCTTTCCATATCTGCCTCTGCATGGTATCTCCTGGTAACAGTGGCATGTGGGACACATGGAACTGTCCCACACGCCTCTGCTTTTGGGAGGCACTTTGGAGCTGAACTGAGAAGCAGTTGGAGCAGAAAGGTGTACCTGCCTGCATTATGTTATGCAGGCCCTCATGCTGCTTCTGCTATAGCTCTTCCCAGTTTGGCTCTGATGCGTGTTCTGAAAATGGAGGTGCCTGGGGCAGTTTCAGCTTGCTGAAATAGATGCCCCTGCACCAGATGGAACTGCCCTGCGTGCCTCTGTTTTCAGGAGGCATGTTGGAGTAAACTGGGAAGAGCTGCAGCAGAAGTGGCCCATCTGCTCACATAATATAATGCAGGCAAGCATGCCTTTCTCCCACAACCATTTCTCAGTTTGGTACTGGTGGTGCTGGCCTGTGGCACCCAGGGTGCCACCATACCCTGTTGAGAACCAGTGTGATGGGGACTTAAAAAGAAATAATATGCACCCAGGCCAGCAATTATAAAAATGAATACAGTCAGTAAAGATTGCTTATTGCCAAGAATAAAAAAGAAACCTGTTGAACTTTTTCAATTTAAGTGTTTAATTGTCACTGGCAGTTCTGAGCTGAGTGTTAGAGGTAGCCATGTAGTCAAAAGCGGGGGCATTTGTGATGGGGTCAGGGTAGCATATATGCAGCTCTGGTGTAAACTGAGTTGAACTTCTATGGACCACAGTGGGAGTTTTTCTTGCATCAGGATGAATGCAGTGTATCTAGCATGAGATCCCAGTGGAAGATGCTGTAAAATAATTTCTAATTAAAAAAGCCAAAACCCTGTTAAGAGCCATAGCATTTAAAGGGGGTGTGTCTGTTTTAATCCACTGAACAGAACTGCGTTTTTGGTCTGTTAAAATAAAATTGAAGAAGACATAGGAGACAGTAAACCAATTTATAAGATGTTCCTGTACAGTTTAAGGTCATGAATGATGTCAGCTAGTAATAAAATCAGTTGGCCTCAGCCCTAGGTCAAGTAATACCTTTGGTAGTTAAAAATGTGGAGTGCTTTCAAAGTTTGACAGCCTTTAAAAAGATGAGACCCTATTCTTTAGTTCCTTATGTAGTCATTAGCATCTGAGTCAAGTGGGTTTAATACTTGACTTTCTGGGTTGTTCTAAAAGACAATGTAGTGTACAAGGGACAGTGTACTTGGGTTGCAGAGATTTGAGCCCTCTCTATATGTTACAGGTATTGTGCAATTAACTGTTTAAGTGTGCAATTACCTTAAGACCAGCTACACATGCAAAGTAGCTATCACAAAAGAAAGAGCGCTCCAACCTGCTATAAAGTTAGACCTGAAAAATGTGTGCTAACTGGTTGCTGTTGAGCTTTAATTTGCACATATAGCAGGGACTTTCAGCTGTAGGAATGTACCATTCCCAGCATGAAACCCCTAGGCTCAGGGGATCACAACAGATGTGATCCCTACGGCACAGGGGTGCATGAAACTTCTGGGCCTACGTGTATAGCTGGGACCAAGAGTCCTGCACCTGATGGGCAGTTTTCCTGTAAAGAGCACTAAGGCTGATTCCAGATGTGTGGGTATGTGTGGTTTGTGGTGCTGTAAATCTCTGCAGTGCCACAGACTGCACAAGATGCACATTAATCAGTGCTTGGCACTGCTAAAATTTGCAGTGCCAGGGCATAATTTGTTACTGGGATTTCCTGGTAGCAAAAGAAAAAAAAAAAACCTAGAAAAAAAAAGCAACACAAAGCAAGCCAAAGCAGCAAGCGCCAGGACAAACCAAGAAACAGGAGAGCAGGCAGCCCATGGCTGGGAGAGCAGGCAAGAGCCCATGGCTGCCTGCTGTCCCATCTCCATGCGCTGTGGAGCCCCTTCGCTGAGATGCCTTATATCCCATCCAGCCACTCCCTGGTTGGCTGGGGTGTAGAGTGCCTTGAGATGGGGGAGCCCCCACACCAAGGCATGTGCAGGTCCTGTGCTGAGGCACAGTCCACTCCAGCCAGCTGTGCAGCTGCCTGTTCCCCATCTTGGGCACTCTGTGCCCCAGCCAGGCAGGGAATGGCTGGCCGGGGTGCAGGGTCCTTCAGCAAAGGGGCTCCACAGTGCGGGGAGATGGAGAAACAGGCAAACCTGGGCTGCCTGCTCCCCATCTCCATGTGCCAATCCCTGGTTGGCTGGGTTGCAAGATGAAGGCAGGGGAAGGCTAGCCCCTGCTGAGGTACCCTGTGCCCCAGCCGGGCCCCCTTTCCACCCCGTAGCTTTTGGAGCAACGGCACAATGTGTCCTGCTGCAAAGCACATGGGCAGAGGCGTGCATTGGGGCACAAAGTAGCAACACAAATTTGTGCCACTGCTATTTGTGCTGCTGTAAAGGCACACCTCTGCTCATGTGGACCTGGCCTAAGAGGTTGTTTTGATCTACTCAAACACAATTGCATGAAAATATGCATGTACTCCCTGATTCCTAGAGATGGGTCGAAACTTGAAGCTTGACTACATTTGAGGGAAAGTTTGGAGTTAGAGAAGATTCCAGATCCAAACTTTGTGGCTGTAGTCCTTCTCCAAAAACATACTTTTCTAAAAAGCCAATTTTTTTTTTTAAAAACTAAATGAAGTTCACACCAATTCTTGGAAGCCTTTTACTACATCTGTCTTCACAACTTCACAACTCATTTCACAAGGGGTGAGACTAAAATTTCTTTTTAGTGGGTGATTAAATGTTCTTTTCTCTTTCAGTCTCTTTTCTGTGGAAAATATTTTTATAAAAATGTAAAACTTATAAAAGTAAAGTTAAAGAAAAAATTAAAGAAAAAAACCCTAGGTGACTATAAAAACTATTAACTGTTAAAGTAAAAACCATAGTAATTAATTATTTGAAAGTCTGTAGCAACTTTCATCCAAGGATGTGACAAAGCTTTATCAATGTTTATCAACTGTTGCAACTTATTTTCAAGATATATCAGTATTTTATACCTACTTTACAGAGGGGAAAGATGACATTTCTATAGTTTGAGGTCCACAACTTAAAAAGAAATTATGCAAAATAACATGGATGAAATCTTGGCACCACTGAAGTAATTGGCAAAATCTTCCATTAACATGAATGTACATAGATCGGGGTGCAAATATATAAAAGTATGCAGCTCACATATCTATTGTATTTACTCAAATATAAGATGAGATTCCCCCCCCAATCAGGGTGGGGAAAGAAGCTCCTCATTTTACATTCACATACAAAGAAGCTTCATTAAATATATTGTTTATCATTAAAGTGCTGCCAAAAGCCATTTCTGCTCAGTAATGGAAACCAACTACAAAGTTGAATAAATACAGCTAACACTGAGCAAGATTATAAAACACATGGCCTATATCAACATTTCCCAACTGGTGTGTCATCAGTTGAGATGGGGAGCGTGGCTCCAGCCAGGCAGGCGGCATCCGGCTGGCTGTGTGCCACCCTTCCGCCCCCCCCCCGCCCTGTCCGGTGGCCACGTGCCGCCCTGCTTTCTCCCCTGTTCTGCATCCGATGTGCCGAGGTGCTTTTTTATTTAGGTAAGTGTGCCATAGGGCAAAACAGGTTGGGAAATGCTGGCCTATGTTAGGCAAACATACTGATAGGAAACTACCACAAGAAAAGGGTAGTGCGGCCCATCTGAATAAAATATATTGTAGTGCCCATTGTGCACAGTCCCCCTCAGCATTGACTTTCTTTCAAGTCTCTTTTCCATGCACTTCAGTAAGGACGTGGAAAAGCTTGAGACAGTCCAGAGAAGAGCCACCCATATGATCAGGGATTTGCAAGTCAAGCCATATGAGAAAAGGCTGAGGGACCTGGGCCTCTTTAGCCTAAAGAGAAGAAGGTTGAGAGGGGACTTGATAGTGGTTAACCGCTATATCAGAGGAGTGCATCAGGAGCTCGATGAACAACTGTTCACTAGGGCATCCCTGGGGAAGACCAGGACCAATGGATACAAACTCCTGGAAGGCAGCTTCAGGCTTAATACCAGGAAAAAAATCCTTCGCAGTCAAGATGTCCCAACTGTGAAATAAGCTCCCTCCAGAGGTGGTGCAATCACCTACCCTGGAGGTTTTCAAGAGGAATCACCTTGCTGGGGTCACCTAACCCCAGTTGTCTTCCTACGTAGGGTGGGGAGGGGGCTGGACTCGATCGGCAAGGTCCCGTCCAGCCCCTAACAATCTATGAAAAGTTATGGTAAGCCACTGCATTGAATGAATTTTTACTTCTTCTTCACTCTTACAGCTGAGCGCTGCCTTTCTCTCCCATTTCCAATCATTTCTGTTTCTTCATCAGCCTTAAATGTCTGTCAAACATCACCAAATGGCGCTGCAAACAGTTCACCCAGAATCCCTCTGTTTCCCTCTCTCTTAGCTTGCTGCACGTGATTAGTGTAATGCTGCCCTCTGTGAGGTGGAGCCAGCCTCCGTTGCCCTATGCTTCATCTGCATATACATTTTTGGAGGATCCCAGGACTCATACCAAAAACACGAGGTTCCTGTCATGAGTTGGGAACTAATTAGCACCTGGATCCTTTTATGGTGGGTATCTGGAGACACATACTGAGCACTGCTGAGCTGTGGAGCCACCGTTGCTTAAAATTCTATTAATTCTGGTGGGGCTCAGCCCAATGAACTATGGTAAATTAATTAACCTTTTGGCTGTGGACTAATATCATACATAGTTTGTACTATACATAAATAAGTACAAAAATGCTACTTCAAAGCTTGTTTATGGAGTACCTGTGCTAAAACTTGTAGCTGTTTCAAAAAGGGTAAAATGCATCAGTTCTGGATGAACTAAGTTTATGGATACCCATAGTAATTTGCCAATATGCGAATTACAACAGGCCTGTTTATTTCAAAATCAGTGTTTTCAAATTTGCTTCTCACTTCCATGTATGCAGGTAGAGCAGGGTCTGACAGTAAGGGAGCAAGGGGCAGCAGGGGGAAGAAAGTGGGGGGGTGGCAGAGTGTAAGAGTAGCTACCTGACCCCTCAGATTTATTTTCCCTGCTGTAGCAATGGGAAGAGAGGACAAATTCAAGATAACCCTCCAATAATTAGATTATATGCTTGGAAAATTATAACAAATTTATAAATTTTCCTTATATAGAATATAATTATTGGGAGGTCATCTTATTTTCAGTGTCATCTTATATTTGAGTAAATATGGTACTTTAGAGAGTGCATACATTTTCACAGAGGCGGGCTCTGCCTTAGGTTGGCTGAATATGCTGTACAAGAACTATTTTGCTAGATGAAGGTTGTATTCTTCTTCCATGTCCCAAAATCTAAGAACCAGTGGCTTAGGAACCCAGTAGAATTTTTTGCCTAGACTTTCTTAATCCGTACAGCTGTCTTTTAGATCTAAATCCTTTTTGTGCTGTCAGACTTCACAAGACCTGAACAATGCTTTGACATGCCTATATATCCTGGGTCATTCTTTGCATATCCTCTGTGTTCCCAAGCCTCAGAAGTTTTCTGATTTTGATGTAAAATTTCCAAAAACACTGCTGATGATTATCAATTAAACATATGCTCCTGTGTGACTTTCTTCTAAAAAAGGGCATGGGCTTGGGTGCTTTTGAAAAATGAAGCTGTTTTCTGAATTTCTCTTTTCTACCTCTAATAAAGGCTGCTTGGCTACTGAGAGCTGTCACTTGCATAGACCTCACCACACTCTCAGGTGATGACACCCCATCAAACATTCATAGGCTGTGCTACAAAGCCACACATCCAATCAGCGAGGATCTGTTGAGAGTTATGGATATGCATGATAAAGGTATGAATATTTATGACAAATATATAGTTTTAGTTACAATATTTGCAAGCTTTGATGGTATAAAACTGTAGCAGTAAAAGATGTGCCTTCTCTAAGTAAACACAACATGTTCTTTACCACTTACCTCCTGAGCCTTACTGACAAACCTCTTACAAGTTAGAATTGCTCAGCCAAAAACCCCTGGGAAAGCAAAATGGATACTCTACAGTCTTTTACATGACATTCTTTGAACAAGTACTGACTGCAAAATAAGTATCTCTGGTGATGAGGCAAGGTGAAGATTAAAAGCCTCCCCTTGGTTTTTAGCTCCAAGATTGAGATTGAAGTGTGAATAGTAAGAGAATGATCTCTTTTTTTATGATAAAAATGGGTGTATTTGATATAGAAATTGTTAAGAGAGTAAATAAGGAAACTCATAATGTGTGTCTTTTAATAACTATACCGTAAGGTGGCACTAAGCCTGTTTGCATTCAATGCATGTGATGATGTCTTAGTAATATGGTGAGAAAGGGGATTAAATATTTTTGGTCCTAGGCTGAGCGGGTTTTAACGGGCATAGTTTTGGGATCTTGCTCTTTGCCTTGGTGAAAACACACACATACTGTATATTTAAAAGAGAATCTGCTCTTCCTTTACCCTTTCAAAACCCACCCACAGCAGGGGTTCCCAAACTGTGGTACACATACCTCTAGGAGTACGCAAGGCATCTTTGAGAGGTATACAGGAGAAATTGTATAATGGCGGATGCAGTTTTCATTATAATAATAATTGGCAGTTAAGGAGTTAAATATAAAATGCATGCTGGTAAGGATATGCAGGCAGCTGGTAAATCTGAAAGGGGTACGCAATAAGAAAAAGTTTGGGAACCTCTGGTCAATGGGCTAATTATTTTGGCATGTTAGCTCTGTCTGCTTCTATGATGTGATTCTCAAAAATGTCTAAACCCTGCTAGAGTCGACAAAATCTTAGGATATGAAAGATGAAATCGTCGCCCATTCAAGTTAGTGGCAGAACTCCCATAATAAGCTACTTAGGGTGAAATTAGATGTGGGCCCAAACACGAACGTTAGTGTTACACTTAGCACTGAATAAAATAAAGTTTTCAAGGCACTAAGATAGCCACACCAAGTTTGTTAACTGCTGGCAAGAAGATGACATCTTTTTGTAATGGTTGCAGTGGTAAATGTTATAATTTCCCAGGAGATTATATTCTACCGATGTGAAAAATGAGGAGGATGTTTGACATTATCATGTGATTGCATGACATTACACTGGTGCTATAACAAACTAACTACAAGAACACCACGAATCACATTGGTTAGGGCCTTATTTACCATTGTGACACTTTGGGTGCAGACAGAAGTGCAAGTCCCTGATGTAACTGAGAACACGTTGCAGGAAGCCTTCCGAGTTGCAAGGATCCCCTGGAACAGACAGAAGTTCACTGGTGGTCTAGGGGGAGGGGAATCTAGCTGCTGGCTGACTCAGTGAAACTGCAAAATTTTCATAATGGGAGGGGGGAAAGGGAGGAGAGGAGCTCATTCTAGGGGTTCCCCAGCCAGTGCTGGATGGTGGGGTGGGTGAATTGGAGCCCCCTTACCTCAGGGCTCCTCCAGTACATCTGCCCAATCCTTTAGTGGTGACTGAAAAACTCCCTGACTGAACTCATGCAATGAGGGGTCAGATTTTCACTTGGTTGTACATTTTTGTAGTTTTCTGTCACGCACTTGTTTGGTCACGGCTATAAACTACTTTCTGTGGCCAGATTGGGCGAAAATTGTCACTTCTGTCTGTTCCCTTTTATGTCTTTAACTGCCTTCCATTAATGAGTTTAGCCTTTCTAAACTTGGTGTAATACTGTGGTAAATCAGACTCCCTGTTTTTTGGCCATATTAAAAAAGGGACTAGTGTTTCCAATATTCATAAACCAGAGTTCATAAAACTTCCGTTTTGTATAACTGATTAAAATTATTAAATAGCAGGCTAATTTTATTAGAGTTTGTGAGGATAAAATGTAAAAAAAGAAACAGAGCGAAAGCCAGGTCTCACTTGAAGTGTTCGATCACTAACTCTTACTGGCCAAACAATACAATAGACTCTTAGGCAGAATACTCTATAGTACAGTTCCTCGTATAATAAATTCCTTACTGTACTGGTCTTAAATTGGCACTGTAAAGATGTCAGAATTATGTCTGCACTAGACTTTTTAATAAAATTCTATGGGTGTGCTACCGCCAGTGCAGATCCCTGTATGCTAGGCACCACTAGATCTGACAGAGATTTCTGCTCTTGGGACAGGCTAAAAAATCATGGGAGTAGTTACAACCCTGGCCACTTGAGCTCTGTTGCCAGTAGTGTTGTCACTGTTGCTACAATTAGTGCAGATCCTGGGGTGGTAGGACAATGTATGCACAGGCGCTTATTGTAGATATATAGCATGGAAATATGCATAAGAAACAATTAATTGAAACTTTTTGCAGGTATTACTACTGCAGCTGTCTGTGTGTATCCAGCTAGAGTAGCTGATTCAGTTAAAGCACTTAAGGCTGCTGGATGTAACATACCAGTAGCTTCAGGTAAGTTTTTCTTTCTTTTTTTTTTTTCTTTCTTTTTTAAAAAATAATTCTTAACAGGACTTGTCCCCTGTTTATTTTCTAAAGTCTGTAGTAAACACCAAAAAGGCTAGTGTTTGTTTGCTTATCAGCAGTATGAAGGGTCAGGATGCGCTTTTTTTTTTTTTTTTTAAGTGAAAAGCATCAGGACTATTACATCAGAGTTCAGTTGGAAGATCTTGCGGGGTGAGACGGGCAGCAAGGAGGGCCTTCGAGATGTGCATATTGAACTCTCTTACCTGAATTGAAACAGCAAGGATAACAAAGCTTACTTAGTGGAATTACTCATCAACTTAGATATTAACATCAACAGATCAAAATCAAGAGGTTTGACTCTGAAGACAAAGCAGATACTAACAGCTACAGATCTATTACTATTAAGGAATAATCTTGCAGACTATTCCATGTGGTTGGACCTTTCAGTTGCAGGGAAACCACTTACACTCTCTCCAGGTGTAGGGGTCCTTACTTGTAGGAGAGCTAGCAGTTTCTTCACTCTTCAGATGCCATCAATTCAGTGTTGACTCAGTTGCCATTAATGAAAACCACCCAGAAATATATGTGATCATTTTTTTTTATTTTTCTATTTACTTTGAGGAGAACACTTTCAAGTTATATTTCAACATCATAAAGCAGGGAAAAAAGGAACAAAGCCATTTTTTTTTATAGGTGACATTCCCAGTCACCTGTAATAGCATAAGAGCCCTACAGAGTTGGATCATTGTTCCATTGAAGCTAGTACCCTGTATCTCATGGTGGCAGGGAGAGAATGCTAAAGAGAAAAGTATATATGCAGGGCATATGTAGACAGATCTGACCCTTTTTCAGCTTTCAGAAAGTTGGGAAGGTACTAGGAAGTCCTAATGTGGCGGTTGCCCTCCTATCATGTTTAATATAACCACTGATGGACCTATCCTGCATGATTTTTTTTCCAGCCTTACATGTGTATTGCATATATGTTTAAGTAAAACCAAAGGAATGTGTTGAGTAGTATAAGATTATGTAGAACTTGTACAGTATTATGATTATGATTTGCTACTAAGCTACATATTAGTGGCACTTGTTTCTAAGAATGGTAGAAGGTTCAAGAATTTACATGTCAAAGATCACTTGATGGATGAGGCCAGGTTCAACCTTTGGTTATTCAGGCACAGCTCCACTGAACTCCACTTATGTCCTTGGTTATCAAGGCTGACTTGGAAATAGCTCCAAGAGATGTGAAAGAGACATTTGTGCAAGGTGCATTAAAAACTAAGTGAATTGCTAGTTAATATACTTGAGGGAAGAGCTAATGAATGCTCTTACTAATGAAGGTGTGGATGGACTTTTAGGACTTTGAGGACAGCTTCAGAAATAATTTTCTTTTGCATAGTATGAGTTAAACAGAAAAAATATCAAGGCTGATGGTTCAATTTCTTAAAAAAAAAAGGAAACCTCAGAGTTTTGATCTGTAGAATAATTTTCCTTTTGAGAGAGAGGCCTTGTATACCTCCAGTGCTTCTTACTAGTTATAGTGTTTGTTTACTGATCAGTGTTTTTTTCCCATTCTCCCCAGTGGCAACTGGATTTCCAGCTGGACAGACTCCTTTGCAAACCAAATTGGATGAGATTAGAATAGCAGTGGAAGATGGTGCAAGAGAGATTGACATTGTAATCAGTAGAACACTGGTGCTGACTGGCCAATGGGAAGGTAAGCAGTTACTAAAGCTAAGGAGCCAAGCTCTTACCATGTAGTCATGCAAGCTTCAGACCCTCTCATCCCCCCAGTATTTATAATGGCACTATATAGTTTTGGTTGCTCATTGTTGGCCAACATTTTCAGAAGTGATTAGTGATTTGAACTGATGACTTGAAACACCTTGAAAAAGTCTGATTTTCCCAAGATAGGTGCTCACTCAGCACTCTCTCAAAATCAAGCTTCTTTAAGGCATGCAAAGGTGGATAGGCAGAATCGCTGTTCTCTTTGGAAAATCTTAGCCACTGCATTTCTTCTAGGGCTTTATATAACTTCTGCATAGTTCAAGTGGAAAAAAAAGTGAGTGGGTGTTGATGGGCTTAATTAAAAATATATTTAAAAAATTTTAAAAGCTCAAGGTGTCCTTAATGTTTTTGTTCTTGGCAAAAGTCTGTGTTTTCTAATTTCTTTTTCCAAAGTTGAGGGTGAAAACCTACTGTTCACATAATTACTACTATTCTTGTGTCTTTAGAATGCTACTAATTAGCAAGCTCAATAATACTGGAGATTGTTTTTGCTCAAATTGGTTTTCTCTTAATGTACTGTGAATGGTTTGCCTTAAGTGCTGACAGTGCTCCCATAACTAATCCCCATGTAAAGGTAAACACCACATACTAGCCTTGGAGTGAAATTTCCATTTAGTTGTATAATGCAACACTAATAGCCTGTTCACTTAAAACATTTGAAAAAGGAACATTTGGTATGTGAATGTGGTTATGGAAATGTAATCAGCATGCCACATTCTTTGATCTCAGTCTTCCTTCGGTTAACCTTGGAACAAAATGACAGCTGTAGTGCACCAGTGCTTGTATTTATGTGATGATAATCCCTATGTTAACTTGCTCATGTGAGTTGATTTCTTTTACAGTGGTATATGTTGTAGCCATGTTGATCTAAAGACATAGGCAAACAAAGTTCATAAACAGACAAGATTCACTTTTACAAGTGGTTTACAAGGTTCAGGTCTCTTTTACAGTATCGTTCAATTATATTACTTTGCCCTTGAGTACATGCAGTAAGCCTGGTAACTGGCATCAGTTTGTTGGTCCTTTAGAACAGCTATTTTAATTTTAGGTGCAGTTTTAGAAAGACAGAAGAGTGTGATTTATAGGGTGGTAAATTAGATAAGGTGCCTCTTACCTCTGGATTGCTGGCTCAGGTCTCACCACAGTTGGTAGCAAGCAAAAGCTGTTGCCATTTAATGGCTACATGGTAGCCTCTGCTAGGAATGTAAATATCATTTAAAAATTAATTTAAAACCTAATTATATCAGTTAAATGATTAACCCGTAACACAGCAGCTGGGACACAGCTGCTGTTGGGAGCCACTCCCAGCTCCCAGAGTCCTTTGACTGGAAAGTGTGGGGGAGGAGGCAAGCCCAGCCAGACAACACGGCCCATGTGAAGCCCTGCACTGGGAAGGAAGGAGCACCTGTGAACTGAGCATCTTCCTGCTTAATTGACGAGTCATTAGGCTGCTGCCTGTTTTCCTTTTAGGGTATAAGTCAGGGCTGGGCAAAATATGGCCCATGGCCTGGATTCAGCCCACAAGGCCATTCTATCCAGCCCACGGGGCCCCTAAAACATTTAGAAAGTCATTATTTATCTGTCCTTGGTTCCTGTCAAAAATGACAGAAACCAGGGGCAGTAGGACCCAGGGAAAGCCCGGTGGGCTCTCGCAACAGCAGGGCTCCCCCGGCCCTGCCCTGCCAACTAGAATCTCCAGCAGGGGCTTCTGGCCTGGGTCCATGTAACTGCACCATGCCAGAAAGTCAGGTAAGGGGGGGCGGGAGAAAGGAGGGGAGGACCCTTGGGAGGGAAGGAACCTGGGGAAGAACAGCCCCTCTCCCATCCCGTGGCTGGTGCTCCCTGCTGCAGCCAGGCATGGGGCGGGTGAGGGGCCGCTTTTCCTGTGCTCAGCACCAGCTTGTAACCTGCCCCGCTGCAAGCCTGGGCCCCATGCCGCGTTGGGGCTGTGTATGGCAACAGCAGCTGCGCCCCCCCCCCCGCTTGCTGCACAGGGCAGTGTTTGCTGCTGCTGGCCACCCAGAGCTCATGCGCTGGGCAGCACAGAGGTGGCAGTGGTAAACACTGCGTGGCATGGCAAGCAGGGGGGGCCGCAGCTGCTGCCATCGTGGCACAGGCCCAACGGGCGAGCCCAGAGCTGGCGCAGGGCCCAGGCTGGCAGCGGGGCAGGTTACAAGCTGGTGCTGAGTGAGGAAAAAGCGGCATCTCCCCCAAACAGTGGCTGGCGCCCCGCGTTGCAGCCACTCGCAGCCTGCACGGGGCTGCCTGTGTCTGCTCCGGACAGCCCCACGTGGGCTGTGAGCGACTGCAGCAGGGAGTGCCAGCCATGGGGTGCGGGAGGGGCTACTTTCTCCCACACTCAGCATCAGCTCGTTACCTGTCAGTGAGCATACCAGCTGCATGCTGTCCCCCACCTGTACCACAGGGTTGGGGGGCACTGGGAGTAAGCGGGAGCACAGAGCCTGTACCTGTGTCCTGGGGCCAGTGCCAGTGGGGCCCAGAGCAGGACAGCAGGAGTACAGGGGTCCCAGCTGGCAGGGGCTCTATGGAGCCAGGCCAGCACCCCCGTATGCTGCTGGTGCAAGCCAGCCCAGCTTCATAGACCCCTGCCAGCCTGTGCCCTGCTTTGGACCCCACCAGTGCTGGCCCTGGGACATTGGTCCCAAGATGGTGACCAGGGGGTGGAGCACCTGTCAATGGGGGGTGCTATCCATGCGGCCCTCAACAGCTTGCCAAAACTGAGTAAGTGGCCCTCCACCCAAAATAATTGCCCGCCCCTGCTATAAGTACTAGTCCTCCATCCCTCTCCCTGTTCCTTGCTTCTCCCTCCCTCCCTCTTGCTTGCCCTTCTGCATTTTGATTCCTGCTGGGGCACTGTGCAATTTCCCTTCCCTCCTTCTCTGCCAGACTGTATCCTCCCTGAGCTAAAGGGTAACTGATAAGCTAACCGGTTATCACTGCACTTATGAGGTAAACCTTTCACATCCCTAACCACTGCTAAATTGGTGATTCCAGTCCATTTTGGTCTCAAAATGCATCAGTGCAGGTAAGCCATTATTCTAGATTTTACTGAGACCATAAATTCTCTGGAGCAGAAGGTCTTTTCTGTTCTGTTTGAATACTGTCTGGCACACTGTTATTCTGACCTATGTCTGCCATTCCTAAGTGGTACTACATGCACAGTGATAAGAGTTTCAGGTGAGAGGCCTAGAACTGAAATGACCAAGATAATCAAGATGGTCTTCCAGTTCTCTGCCTGAGCTTGTATGTCTAGACTGAAGTCAAAAGGACATTGGCTGAGTGGCAAATAGAAAGCCCTGCCCCTACCATCTGTGTTTTAGGAACATCAAAGGAAGTTATTAACCTACAGGTTGGCATTTTGTCTTTAGATAGAATTTCCTGAATGAGTTAATTTTTACTACTGAAGCCATGTAGTACACTTAGAGCATACTAAGGGCACTTAAAACATGAGCGTCTGCACATTAAACCTTGTTAACTCATGCTAAGTGCCCTTTGAGCTTCTCAAAGTTATACTATTTCAGGCAAGGGTTAACTCTGGACTGTGATACTTAGACTGTTAGTATAACTTCAGTCTATTCCAAAAAGATAAAATGAGCCTCCAGCACCCCAGAATGCACTGCTCTCAGCCACCCCATCCTCCATCTGGAACAGTGATAGAGTTGAGGTGTCCATGCTCGTAGTCACACCCCTGTTTGCCAGCCCTCTAGTGGCAAGTCAGTGCTGTGCAAGGAAGAAACGATAGGAACTCTTAATGTTCGAATGCTCACAGTATGTTCTAACTTATTAACACCAATTATCATGCCACAGATTTAGTATGGTCTAGGTGTAACGTGTAACTCACCTTTAGGTGCTGCCCTGCCCTCTCTTCTGCCTGACTTCACACTGACACGGCTAACTCTCTCTACTCATAGGCAAACTCAAATTTTAAACAAAAATTGTATATTTTGCTATTTTTTTCTGGTTGATTTATTAGTCCCTGTGTGGTAAATGAGTAAATGCCATACTTTAATAGTTGTCATGCTTGTCTATTGTGTAGTGTAGCAGGGGACCCAAACCCTGTTATTCAGACACAATGGAGGGGGAGGAAAACCCAATCAGTGCATCCAGGACATGTGTTGAAGTGGTCCACATGAAGGCAGGAGACTAGGCAGATGGCATTTAGAGATAAAAACTGAGTGAGACATTTGGGATAGGATTGGGGATTGAAGCAGATGGTCCAGGAAGAGAAGATCTGTACCAGGGAGCTCCTGTCATTTTCAGAGAATGTAGCTGGCTAAGTGGGGCTGCAGTGACAGGAGTGCAGGCTGACCCTTAAGAGAGTAAAACCCCTGTGCATGGCTGGGGGAAGGTATGTAATGGGAAGGGAGCAGGGTTACTAGGAATATAAATTCAGGCCCTGGGCCAGAGCGAATAATCATGCCCTGCAGGCTGCAGGGAGAAGAGCTCCTGTAGGGATTCTGACTGCAGGAAGCAGTGCCCAGGGATACCCCAGCTACCCACAAGAGTGAGAGCAAGCCTAGCCCTGGGAGTTATAGCTTATGGAACGCAAACATCGTGAAAGCAGTTTCCATGTATTTCAGTTGTACTGGTGTATGTTTGTTTGTTTGCTTGTTGAACAACCAGAGAATTGAAAGTGGCTGTAGGGGCGGAGGAGGCCACAAACAGGGTACTGGGTAGGTACCTTCCACTGTAAGGCTGAGGCCTGAAGAGCCACAGCCCAAACCAGTAGACCTGGGGTGAGCTGCCTCAGCTAGAAGAAAAGGGGCTGAGGCCAAATAGGCTGAAGCCCAGACAAGGGTTGGTGTCCAAGGGGCCCAGCATTAATCCAGGCCAAAAGAGAGAGAGAGAGAGACAATGGGGCATTGGGCTGCACAGAGGGCTGAGCCCCAGTGTAGAAAAAGGGACTAA